TTATCCCGGGTTTTTCCTGAGCTGGAGAGGCCGAATCTACACGTGGAAGACCTGATGAGATTATTGAATAAGAAAGATGGTTTTACTCGGATGGATGACGTCGATGTTGTCCGAGTATGCCTTCTAATACTTTTGCATGCCGACTTTTTAGGCAGAGAGGCCAGACAACCTATTCTGAATGATCTAATCAAATTGGTAGAAGACCTAAATGCGTAGAACCTGTTTCCGTGGGGCTCGTATATATGGAAAGCTACATGGAATAAGTTATCGTCTGCCTTGGATGATCGAAAAAGTTTGCATGTCGATGGTTCCAAATACACTTTGACAGGCTTTATTTGGACCTTTAAGGTAAGAATTTTTATATAATGTTTCCAAAATTATAAGTAATTATTTAACAATTACTAATGTTTGTTATTATATTGTTTGTAGATTTGGATATTTGAGGCCTTTCCCGCCATGAAGACATATGCAATAAAAACTTCAAATGATATTCCCAGGGCTATTTCCTGGAAGAGGAAACAGACCTTGCAATGGGAAGATTTACTACGGTATACGACAATAAATAATGTAAGTTAACATAAATACTACCATATGTTTATAAACAAGTTATTACTAGTACACGTTTAACTTTGTTTGAGCTTTTATATTGTTAGGAGGCCAACACTCCATTACAGAGGCTGACACCCACGGAAGCTGAGCTTGCCACTGATTGGTGGCAATCTAGTAAGCGTTTTTTTGATGGCAGGGATGATGAGCAGCCTCCACTTCGGGAGCCATCACCTCACCCAGAGCTATCACCTAACCCAGAGCCATCACCTGATCGACCCGAATATACACCTCCACAACGACAGCCATCACCTATTTTGTCACATCATCGAGCCTCATCTTCACCATCACCGCAAGATAGGCGACCGGCAAAGATGCCACGACGTTTATCTCCCTGTTCTCCACCTCCACGGGATGAGTTAGGGGAGTTACGTGATGAGGTCAATGCCTTGCGTGAGGAGGTCGGTACTTTACGCAAAGACGATGGTGCATGGCGTGTTGAGGTGTCTACTTTACGCGGTGAGGTATCCGCTCTACGTGAGATGGTAGCATCATTGCAGAATGAGGTTCATACTCTATGCAACGAGGTAAGTTTAAGATTTTTCATATTTAACTTGATGACAAATTTACTCGTAATTTTACTTAGATTAACCATTTCACTTAGATTGCTTAATAAATTCATTCGGTTGCTGCCAATACTACTAAACTATTTTTGTTAGTATTTGTTTTTGGTTTTGTTTTTGTCTTTTGGTTGAAGTAATGCAATCCATTCAAGTTTCAATTTGCAGAAGAAGAATAGTTTACTTTCGCAACACGAAAATGACTATCGCAACGCGGAAATGGATATCGCAATGCGAAATGAAAATCGCAACGACAAAATCGCAATGCGAAATGAAAATCGCAACGACAAAATCGCAACGCGAAACACAAATCGCATTGCGATTTTCATTTCGCATTGCGATTTTGTCGTTGCGTTTTTCATTTCGCATTGCGATTTTCATTTCGCGTTGCGATAGCCATTTCCGCGTTGCGAAAGTAAGTTTCGTGTTGCGAAAGTAAACTATTCTTCTTCTGGAATGTTTATATATGTTGTCCTTTTAAATGTTTATATAAGTGCTTACTTCTGGAATGTTATCTGATGCATTTTGTGAACTATGATAGAATAATGACTTGGGTGAATACAATGCAAGTTTGAAACATATTTGTCTTTGTTTAATATCATGTCTGTTTATTTACTGATTTATGTATTAATTTTTTTAGCGGCCCGATAAGGTGGATGCTTTACGTCGGGTTTTCCTTGCACGACGGAGTTTACGCATTAGACGGCGTGCACGTGCTATTACGTCTCCGTTCACCCCAATGGTGCGAAGACTCCGAAAGAAGAAGCCCGACTCACCTGTCATCCCTCAAGAGTCCCCTCCAATCGTTTAAGAGGCCACTGTCATCGTTGAAAATGTCCCTCCCACCATTCCAAAGCCCGATTCACATGGGGTAATATATCATCAAATTATTGAGAAACCCCCACCGTTGCTGGACATGATGGATGAGAGTTGGCTCTCATATGAGTTACCGGCTAGTACCCTTCCGGTATCTGAAGTGGAGAGGAGACAACTACCGGAAACAATTCTGGATAATACCATTTGGGCTAAGACCGCAGTTGATTTTTATCTACATGAGCGGAGCCAAGGGTGTTACACTGACATAAGTAAACTCAACGATGAGATGTATTTGTTACTTAATCGGTCTTGGTGGGGTGTGTTATTAGGGGTTGAAGACAGTGGCTATTTCGATGGGGAGGTAAGTCTTATATTTGTCTTATATATGATTTTGATTAATTTTTTTAAAAATTAATGTAATTCACTAATATATGTCTTTTTTTGTAAAATAACATATCGATGCGTGGGTGTCACGTCTTCTAATAATAAGGAAGCTTAGGAAAAATAAAAAAAAATTCACGATATACAATAATGCCGGCGGCTTTTCACGCAGTTCACTTGAAGAATCAACGAGATGAATCATTTTCGTTGGGCAATGGACAAGCTAAACTTTATCCTGCATGGTGGGAGGTCGATAAGGTTAGTGTTTATTTTTTAAATTTTTTAAAGGTGTTCATAAATAAGTGCGCAAATAAATGAATTATTACTTATGATTGCAGGTGTTTATCCCTGTTTTGGAACGTCGTCATTGGCTTCTCGTCCAACTTCATCTCCCATCCCTGAAGATAATAGTATATGACAGCATGATAAATTACATATCACTGTCTGATTTGAGAGATATTATCAAGGGATGGAGCTCTCATTTGGCTAAATTCTTGGATGGGATTAATTATTGGACTCATTCTGGACACAAGAAGCCAAAGAAGTTCAATGTCACAGTTGTCAGAGACGAGACCGCGCCACAACAATCGCCGGGAGCCAGAGGGGATTGTGGTCCTCTCGTATGCATGTGCTTGGCGCGTTTGACGACGGGAAGCACAGAGTTTCTACCTCCCACCGATAGAGATAGAGCTGCAGTAGGCTTGTGGTTTTGGCATTATATGGCTAGAGCGATATATTCGAGACGCTGCCTACCTGCATCCGCGTTATGAAAGTATCCATTGTTAATTGGTAAGTCAAATGCAAGTTTTTGTTAACATATATACTCCTTTTGGTTTGAAAATGTTTGGTTAAGTACCTAGAATTCAATAATTTGTTGTTTGTAGGTTTTAGATGTGCAGGAAGTCTTGTTTGAGCAAATGTTTGGTTTCTGCAGGTTAATCCTTAAGTGAGCTGCGTGAAATGGATGTACGGGTGCAAAAGTTGATTCATTGATTCAATAATTGATGAGGAAATAAGAATTATTATTATTTTTTGATTGTTTAATTGATTTGTAAAAAATGATTTGTAAATGTTGATTTGTTTAATTGATGTGTACATAATTCTTATTTGTGCTTGTTTAATTGATTGAAATGTAATAGTTGATTTGTTGATTTTCAATCTGCATTATGTTGAAGGCAAAACAGACTATCGCAACACGAAACTGACTATCGCAACGAGAGAATCGCAATGCGAAATGAAAATCGCAATGCGAAATGAAAATCGCAACGAGAAAATCGCAATGCGATTTTCATTTCGCATTGCGATTTTCTCGTTGCGATAGCCATTTCGCGTTGCGATAGTCATTTTCGCGTTGTGATAGTCAAATGAATGTCTAATAAGTGATAACAACTGAACATATCATAGCAATGTTCAAAACTCAAGTTACTAATACATGCCTAACTGAAAATGTTAAAAGTGCACACATAAAATACACATAATACAACGTTTGCATTTAAAAATCACCTAAGTTAACAGTCCCAAAAGGTGAAGTCGGTTGTGATTGGGATTTTGAAGATGATTGCGATTTTGATTGCCTTTTGCTTGACACCATATGAGCTTTGGATTTTGATGAGGATCCATATTTTGGTAGAGGAAAAGATGATTGTGATGGCACTGGTGAACCACATGTCATCCTTGTATGACCACTTTCCTTGCACCGACTACATGTCGATCTCTTCTTCTCTTCACCCTGAGACGGTATACGATCGTGACTTTTTGGTCGGCCAGGTAGCCTTCTGTCCATGGCTGGTGGCAAAACTGTTTGTAAGTCATCTGGTATGTCCCACTCAGAAAGATGTTGCGAAACTAAAACCTGTTGCGAACTTTGAAAATCGCATTGCGATTATGTATTATCTCGTTGCGATAGTCAGAATCTCGTTGCGAAAGTCAGAATCGCGTTGCGAAAGTCAGAATCGCGTTGCGAAAGTCAAAATCACGTTGCGAAAGTCAGTTTCGCGTTGCGATAGTCAGTATCGCATTGCGATTTTCCAAATTCGCATTGCGATTTACTTATTCGCATTGCGAATTGGGAAAATCGCAACGCGAAATTGGAAAATCGCATTGCGATAGTCATAATCGCGTTGCGAATCTGGAAACTGATTTGCGATAATGGAGATCGCGTTGCGAATTAGTGATCACATTGCGATTTTGTTGGTCATTTTGACAAATCCGAAAAAATTGATTAAAATCGTATATTATATGAAATTTTTAGTCACTGAGATTATTTTCTCTTTTAATTATTACTCCGTCACTGTATGATATTTGAAAGTACATATCAATCTCGAAAAGACAGCGTTTAATTCGAATATTATACTAATTAAAATAATTTTACTTTCTAAAACAATGATTCATCCACAATATTGCGAAGGTTCTGTTTACTTTCTTTTAGTTTTATTTTTAGTCCGTACTAACCTTTCCTTTTGCGGTAGTAACTTATTTTATCAACATATTTTTCTTTTGTATAATATTCCTGCTACTGTTTAGCAGCACACATGCACATATATTGCACCATACAACCATTATTTTACAATTATTATTGTGGTTTCAGTCCTTCTTGCTGATATAACATCCATTATGTCACAAGTGGAAATTCTTTAGTAGACATGTAATTCATTTTGGGCATGGGAGGGAGCCCTTGTGGCCTATCTCCTCGATCTGTTTCTCTTCTTTTCCATCGCCATGATCACCATATCCAATACCTCGACGTTTCGTGGGGAAAAGAATGAACAATCCACTGGCTAAGATCCCAAACCCTAATGGCAGATTCGTCATCAATGCATTACCATTTGGTCCAGGTTTAGGAAAAAAGCAACGTTGAACCTCAAAGCTACTACAAGCAATCACTAAAAACAAAGTTAAAGAACAGCATGCATGAAGGAAATCAATGGCAGTGAGCTTATACTTGTTGAATATTTTGTCGGTTTCTTTTTTGTCATTTTCCAAATCAAGACCATCATCGACCTCGTCGTTGAAAACCCACAGTCCTTTGAAGGTGGCGATACCATAATAAAGCTTTCCATCGTTGCCTACGAAACTGTCGGTGAACGAAGATAAGAAGCAAGAGATCGAACACGCAATAATTAAACCTAAAGTCATGTATTTGTGAGCCACTTCGCATCTTCCATTGTTGGAGAAGGAGGGTATAATGGCTTGGAATGCAAAGACGGTGCCGGTCGGAAGCAGGTTTGCGAGGTTAGCTGAGAACGGTAGGGCCTTGTGGGCGGATTGTGGAATAAGTTTGATGCTCGCCATGGATGAACTCTTTCAAGTTTCACGTCTTGATTTGTGGGATCATATTTTCCTCATTTATGGTTTTATAGTAAAAATTAAAAAAAATTGGCATAATGCTAAAAATAGCCCCTCAATGTTTACAAAAATGATTATTTTGGCCCCTATTATTTTTTTAGAGCATTTTGACCCCAACATTTCGCTTTGGGGAAAAAGTTTCCTCTATATATGAAAATTATTAGTTAACACACAATTAATGCTCCAAAATATGAGCTTTTTAACATAAAATGAAACATTGAGGGGGTAAAATACCCCTTAAAAAAGAAAATGAACAAAATGATTACTCTGTCAAATGTTAGGAGATTTTTTTTCTAAAATAAAATGTTGATGCTAAAATGCTCTAAATAATAGAATACGGATAAAATAATCATTTTGATAAATATTAGGGTTAATTTTGACATTATGCCATAAAAATTAGGCCATTGAAGTGAAGAATTTGGTTAGATTGGGTAGAACATTGAGTGTAAATTTAAGGTATGGCGTTTTCATCAGAAACAAAGCGTCATGAATTCGTTTATTTATGACCTAATTCCTTTTCCACAAGAAAACATCAGATGCCAAACAGATGTGACATTTGCCTATTCCAATTTAAATTATTATTTGTAGTAAAAATAAATGGATGTATGTTATTCTCTGTGTTTTAATGAGTCTAAAATCAAGTGCTCTAATTTAGATTATTTATTTTAAAATAATTAAATTTTTGGATAAACTACATATTTAATACTTAAATTATTATTTTTATCCCCAATATAAATAAAAGAGGACAAAAAAGGGTTTCTCCCCCTATTAAAATTCCCATCCAAGACCATTTAGCTTCAGAATACTAGTTTTTCTTCTTTTTTTACCCTTAGAAGTTTTCGCTCGATCGAAAGGATATAACACATACGAAACCTTAGCTTCGCTTACTTTCTGAGGTATAACCTTTTCCACGACATCAGTGGCTTAGCTCTTCGCGCTTCTCGCAGCGTTTTGATACCTCAACTTTATTTTATTTCAAAATCATACCTAACTTTTAGTTTATGTTCTATTTTTGGTATCTATCGTTAAAAATTTAAGGGTGATAGTGACGTGTCACAATAAAATAATGTCATGTCATCATTCAAAAAAATAAAATAAAAATTATCAAACCAACAATTCTGTTAATTTTTTAACAATGAGGTACAAAATTGAAATATAAACTAAACATTAGTTATGATTTTGAAAAAAAAATAAAGTTTGAGTATCAAAACGGAACAAAATAATAATTTATGTACTAAACATGTAGTTTACCATAAATTTTATTTTATTCATTAACAATTAGATTATCTAGTGAGATGAGGTACTAGACCCCTTAAGCAATATAAGAAATTTGAATTCTTATATTATGAATGGATAAAATTAGTTGAACTATTAGGAGGGTCGTCCCGTAACAAACCATTGTAATATTAAATATGAATTATTCTAACAATAAATTAAAATTTAATCGTTAAATTTTTTTTATTTTACTATAGCATTTTTCTTCATCCATTCAGTTAAATTTTTTGTTTGTGAAAATCACATATTTTTTTAAAGATATGTTTATGAAATACTGAGTTTAATTTGTGAAAGTTAATTGACAATAAAAATTTTGGTGAAAGTTTTTGCATAAAATTAAAAATATTTGCACAACGATTTAGAGTGGTTTGACTTTCTCAATCAAAGTCTACGTCCACTACTATGGGTGTTCATTTTTCAGTTTTAACCGAATTAACCGATCGAACCGAATTAGTTTGGTTAATTCGGCCACTGAATTAGTTCGGTGGGGGAACGATTAATAAATTTTTTAGAATTCGGTTAACGGTTAATTTAGTTCGAAATCGGTTAATTAACCGAATTAACCGAAATTAAATTTTAAATATTAAATATATTATATATAACATATAAACCATTTAAAACTCAATTAATAATTTAATATCTAATAACTTTTAAACTTAAATCAATATTAATTAATTAAAAAATCCATATAAAATTTTTATTTTATAATTATATATTATTTAAATTAATTATAAATTGTTTTTTGAATTAAAAAATATTCAATTTTTATATAAATTATAAAATTGTAATCGGTTCGGTTAATATTTTCAAAAAAAAAAGTTTGGTTCGGTTAACGGTTAAAGAAAAAAAGTTTGGTTAATTCAGTTAATAGTAATTCGGTTCGGTCGGCCACCGTTTTAACCGAATGAACACCCGTATCCACTACCTTAGCTATCCACACTAAGGATTTTCCACAAATTCACTAATTTGTCTTTCTTTTTAGGACAAAGAGTAACCTTACAACTCTCTCAGTAATTATACCTCAAATTCTTGAGAACACTCTCTCCCAAAGAGAAAATTACAAATTTCGCAAACTTACAGAAAACCTCACAAGCCAATATGTTTGCACAATTCTAGAACAAAGAAAGAACACTCAAGAATGAATACAATTGAGTACAAATAGTGTTCTTGAAAGCAAAATAAATATTGAATAAAATAGGCTTGAATCGCTCAAACTTGATGTTTAAGGCTTTCTCTTTGATTCTCTCTCAATTCTTGTTGATCAATGGCTTCATAACTTGTTTAAATACACTTTGGATTGATTCTAGCCGTTGGAAATCATTTGGGTGATGTTAGAGCCGTTGTAGTGTGAAAACCCTCTTGAAAAAGGCTGCTGGGAGCGTGGGGTATTGGTACATGCAATGTAAAATTCAAATATTTCGATCAGTAAATGACTAAGGGTACCGGTACCCATTAGACATTCTGTTTTTCTCGGAGCTAAAATTGACATAGGGGTATCGGTACCCATTTAACATTCTGTTTTTCTCGATGCCAAAATTAGCATAGGGGTATCGGTACACCCTATGAGGGTAGGGATGGCAAAAAAACTCGAACCCGACAGAGAAAATTGAAAATCGAATTAAACGGGGACGGGGAAAAACCGTTTATGCTAAACGGGGATGGGGACAGGAAAAATTGTTTATGTTAAACGGGGACGGAGATGGGTTTAGTAATCCCCGCTCGGGTTTAGTAATCCCCGCCCCGATTACCCGGCCCGATAAATATTAAAAATAATTATTATATATATATATATATAATATTAATAAATTTAAATTAAATTAAATATATATATATAATATTTATATATTTAATTTAAATATATATACCCGATCCGATACCCGTTTAAATAACCGTTTATGCTAAACGAGGATACCCGTTTTCCCGCGATTTTCCCCGATTACCCAATGGGGATCCCCGTTTAAATCCTCACGGTTTTTTAAGCGGGGACGGGTACAAGTTTTTTAGACGGGGACGGGGACGGGGGGACCAATACCCGGCTCGAACCCGGCCCGTTGCCATCCCTATATGAGGGGTATCGATACCTCCCTATTTAAAACTTATTTTTGGCTCGATTAAGGCTCGAAATGCTTTGTAAAAATTGTTTCAAAAATATTTTAAGATTGAAACACAATTTTACACTTAAGTAAGAATTGAAATTGTCATTTGAAAAACTTGAAGTAATATTTTGATATTTGAATAATTTAATCGAATATATAATTTAAAATATAAAATCTTAAAATTCATTAACACTTAATTTGTTATATCAAAACATAAAAAATGTTTTCAACAATTTGCATAATATTATATTCTTGAATTAGTTTATATGGTGTTCTGAAATAGGTAGGTTATCCATTCTTTACTCTTTATTATTTTTAAGTATTTTGGTTGAAACTTGTAAGGTAACATTGTGAATATAAAATATAATTTACGAACTTTAAATATGAGAAATATTTTTTAAAAATAAATAAATATACTTATATTAAATAATTCTTTACTTCATATACCTTCAATAAATCTATTTACAAGAGTTCGAGTCATTGTGTATGTAAAAAATTATCATTGAGAGATTCACACAGTAAAATTACGTGTGTGATCCGAGTCTGAATTAATTATAAAGCTAAACCTTGAGAACAGAGAATAACAATATATATAATATTGTTATTCTCTGTTCTCAAGGTTTAGCTTTATAATTAATTCAGACTCGGATCACACACGTAATTTTACTGTGTGAATCTCTCAGTGATAATTTTTTATATTTCAAGGAATCTGATTAACATTCTCCAAATTTTCTGTTACTTTGATACATACACATCACAACTTGACGCCTCACCCTATATTGATTCTGCTTTATTACTAAGCATCATTGTTCTAAAAATATATATCTGTTTATGCCGTCCGTACAAAAAAATTTAAAGATAACAAAAAAGTATTTGAAAATAACTAAATGAAAAGTTATATATTATTATAAATAAATTTTAAAATTATACATGATATTTAATCAAATAAATGTGTTATGTAAATTTTATTTAATGAAATTGTAAACATAAAAGTTTATTTTAATTCAATTTCCTTAAAAGGTTACCATTCTTAAAATATAGGACCAATATTTATTTATTGTAAGTACAAAATATTATATTTAGTCAATATGAATATGATTGGATTTCTTCAAATGTATACAATTAGATCAAAATTAAAGGTTCATAAGTATAACTAAATTTTCTTAGATCCTCTCAATTTTAGAATTGGACAAATTGACCCTTTAGAAAGACCAATTTAGTTCTTATTCAATCTAAAAAATAAGCAACCAATGATAATTTATTGTAGCTATAATTTTTTGCCAAGTTTATATAGTTCGGATTAAGATAATATTAAATTTAATCATTTATATTTATACATTATATTAATTCAATTTTAATTTTAAAAAGGTTGACATATAATTTACACGTTTTATAAATATTGAGGGTTAAAATTATTCATTTTTTTTAAATTTAGAACTAAATTAATATAATATATAAATATTCAAAGCTAAATTTATTGTTATATTAAGGCTTAATACAAAAAAATGCTTAAACTATATCATTTTTCCTATTTAGGTGTATAAACTTTTTTCGGTCAATTTAGATGTCTAACGTTATAAATGTTA